AGTAAGACCTGTGGTAGTAAGCAGTGCACAATAATATATTGTCCTTATGCATTATTTAATGGGACTGTGGGGAAGATAGTGTTTGTGCACATTTCAAACTCCATATGAGAGCATGTACCTCTCTTAATTGGCTTGCTCAAGAGAGCTAAAGGGAAATGCAGTTCTAGTAGCAGATATTGATCAATTTGACCAGATGCAGCTACTGAAAGCATGATCTACATCAATGTCACCTTCAGGTAAACAGCACAAGACAACAAGCAGCAATTTAAGACATCTGGATGTTTGCTGTTATACCGCACGCATCCGTTGTTTCTTGTTTATGTAATGATATCATGTCACTTTATTTAAATGTCAATTTAAAGGCTCTGCAACGCAGTGTCGGGAGCAACAGTTTGAGGCTGACACAGTGGCAGCATGACTGCACAACAGTGTTTCTTTAGGGAGACAGATGCCACCAATAATTTTCCTGCCCGAGTCAGGAGAAGGACGGGCGACTGGCTGGTACCATGCAGTGGCTCTCATGGGTATGAAAAGTCATGCTCCTCTGCAGTTTAAATGCCATGTGCTCTGCAGCCGGCTACATGCATTTCCCAGTTGGATATGTGTGTGTCAGGACTCTGGCTGCTGTAGACAGGCTGAATATGGTATGTTTGATTTATAACCGCTGCTTACCACTGGGCTCAGTTTAGCATCGCACCACAACCTGCACAGTATTCCTGAAAGAATTAGCTCTCTAACCTCCATATGGATTTTTATATGCATCTGTATCCCTCCATCAGACAGCTAGCCTCTCTCAAAATGACTCTTCACCGTTTCCCTCAGTGGCCCTCTACACCAGAGTCCATTGCACATTCTGGTCACACCCTAATACTCCATTTTACATGTGACAGTCATCGTGTAGCAGCGAGCAGGTCAGCCTTTAGTCTTTTTATTTATTTATTTTTTTATCAGTCGTCAGAAACAAATGACAGCAACTTAGACGTGCTATTAGCAGGAGGACTCCAGGCACACATACATGCTCTGTATGACAGTTTTCCTTATTCAGATATACTGCTCAGATGTGAGAGGCTAAAAGCCTCCAAGATAGAAGGAACCATGCAGCAATCATTATTTCTAAAGGTTACCCAGTCTGAATACAAATGTTCTCAAGACACAGAAAAACATGACCAAGTGCAAAAGGCTATGTACTCTGGTTTATGCATCTATAAACGGGATTTTGGGGGCATTCTGGAGGTTTTTCCACTGGTCTGATTGTCACATGCTGTTGGTTTCATCTGAATCTATTAAAATTTAATTGACTCCAACATATTTGTAGTGATCAAGCGACAGAACAAGTCATTTATGGCAAATAATGAAATCCATTTCCAACATTGCTTGCACTGTGCAGTCGCAGGGGACAGCAGCTTATCTGCACAGTACACTCTGGACAGGTCAGAAATCAGAGCTAACAAAGTCACATTCATCTTCAAAAGGGCAAAATAATGTTTCCCATCCAGCTCAGGTGCACATCTATGGACTGTGAACGGGTTTACTTTGCTGCAGCACGAAAAATACATTTTGTGTCTTCAACACATTACCAGATAATTCACTGTTTACTGATGAGTAAGAAGAAGCAATCTATATGAACCGCATCAGCTCACGTAAGTAATAAATAGCTCTATTTACCACTAACAGTATCACTGCAGTAGCCATTTAGTGTAACATTTTATTGCTCCTATGTTTGTTCCTACTGAAATTCATGATGCAGCAAAGTTGAAAAGTGGAGAGTGTTCCATGCCTCCTGAGGCGTGTATGTTATTTACCTGTTTCCTCCTGCGTTCAGTGCTTTAAGTGAACCACTGTCTTTTTTTTTCTTCTTCTTGTTGCTTTCTGACTCGCTAACCCTAAAAAATAAATTCCAAAAGAAGCTCCAGTTTAATTGCTTCAGTGCTTTGGTGGCTACTCCTTTGATCTTTTTGGCTAGTTGTAATTACGCCACTTCTTCAACTTTTTTTCATGCATCTCAAGCACTAAATAACTTGCCTTGCCTTGGGAGAAACATCTATCTCATTCTGTCGACTGATAACAACTTAATTGGCACTTATTTTCTGCTTTCTTTACTGGGTTCTTGGCTCCGTTCAGGGTCCAAAATTTCTGCAAAATTAACAAGAGGCTAGAGTTTTCTGTTCACTGACACCATTTATTTTAAGTCTGTCATGGTTGGTATCATACTACCCTCAGATCCTTTCTTGTTTATCTGCAAAAAAATGCACGACTGCAAAGGCAGCCTGAGTTTTCAAAGCGAAAAAGAAAAATCCTTCACAATTTAAGACCACTGACTGCACGAAGTCAAAAGAAAATCCTTTTTTTTTTCTCCACATAGCTGGAATCAACCACACATTCAACTAACCACACAATATCGTTTAGCACTATAACACTGTATATAATTGCGTATATTAAGGACTACCAATCATGCCTACAGTGGTTAATTATACTGCTGATTTACCTCTGAGACTTACAGCTTAGGGTATCTTGAATAAAGTAATCTCTGCAGGATATATCTACAATCTGAAGCTGTCGAGCTGTGAACATGACTCACTGTAAACGTCTATTTTAATATACCTTGTATGAAGAGGGGGGAAAAGAAACAAGTCTATATACTGTTTTATAAAATCTTTTATACTCCCCAATACAGATCAATAGCTTGTGTTGCCTGTTATTCTTTCATTCCTGCAGTGGCTGATAACCCTCCACTGTTCCAGATTTCAGAATGCTAACACATGACACCCGGCACCACGAGCAGCTGCTGTAACACAATGCAACACAATGGCAAGGCAGAGAGACCCCATCAATCTCACCCCATGGCACGCATAAAAGAAGGCGGGAGAAAAGAAGAAGAAGAAGAAAAAAAACGCGTCTCTGCAAACACGCCGTCGTAACTTTCTTTTTATGCATTACCTGCTGAGACGTGAATTTGTTGTGCAGTCGTTTCCTGCCCGCATTAGCATTTGCTGAACATGGAAGTGTTGGCAATAATGCATGATAATGATAATGACCATCCTGTCTGATTTCATTAGGCAAACACATGACAGCAAGTGCTCTGAGCTTCTGCTGTAACATCCTGCAACACACTGACAAGCCCAAAGACGTGATCATCGCCACTCGCGGCAACACACACTGCTAGTAAAAAAATTTAATAAATAAATAAAGACGTCTAAATACATAAGGACCCTGGCTGCACGCATTGCTAATTCAAATTACAAATCCAATAAGGCTCAAGGGTATCAACCCTCCTAAGAAGAAACCTCATTAACCTCTGTTTTTAGGAGTCGTTTCAAGTCCCTTATGTGAAAACCTGCCTGATGCACGGTTTTAACCGAAGCATAATTTCAATTTGCAAAATTCACTCAAAACCACAGGGTTAAACCTTTACTCAAAACACTTAACAATTACAGTGTGTCAAAGCCCCTGAACTTGCTGCTCTGTCAGTCCAATCCTACGTATGCTTCATATGACGAATACAGTATGAGATTTTATTGCCGTGAGACATCTGTCAGAATACGAAACACTGTCAAGACCTTGTGACAACTGTCATTTTTCATACTGCTGTAGACATTAGCAGGCAGCGGTAAAGAGGTGGGGTACGCTGTCATGTAGGAACATGCATGCATCACTGATGGTAAAGGAGGGTGTATACAGTAGATGCAGCTGGTCGTCGGTGTTTTCCATCAGCACCGCAAGCTGCAGTAACACACTCACTGCCTGCCCTGATGGAGCCACACAGCTGGCCAGAGCCTACATCTTCCCCCTGGAGAGATGTCAGTATGTATTGTGCAAATAAAGCAAAGCTATATGAAGGCTTGACTTTACTGTAAGATACTGACATCTAACCTCACCTCAACATAACAGATTTACAACCTTTCCATGACTCCGCGCAGGCATCCTGCACCCTCACTTCCCCTGTCTGTTGTTGCTGATGTCCTCTGGGGTGATGAACTGATATTTACGGCGGGCCAGACGCTGACCTCTCCAGCCCACCGTGTGTCAAAATTAGGAGAAGCTGGTGTGCAGCCACAACCTCAACCACAAAACGCTGAGTTGAAACTCAGGAGGCAGAGCTTATGGAGGAAAATGATGAGGGGGGCTAAAATAAATAAATAAAAATTCCAGTTGGAAACGTAATCGCCAGCATTCACTCACAGCAGCGCCCATGAGATCATTATCATGCTGCATCAGTGCTTCTGTAGCATCTCATCCCAAAACTTCTGAGCTGATTGGCCCAAACAAAAAGGTGTTGTGCAGCCCACATCCTGCTGAGGCCTCACCGTACAACCAGATAATCATCTTTCTGTGTGTGTCTTTTTAAACTTACTAACAAGTTCCCCCCCTCCTCTCCCTCATCATCGGGGCTCTTCTGTGAAAACTGTCCACTCTCTGAGGAATCAGTGCAGTTTGCCCTGGTGGCAGGATTACAGCAGCTGCTGCTGCTAATTTATGAAAAAGTCTTGGTCTCTGCGTCGTGCTGATGCAAGACACGCCCGGGCCATTTCCACATGCGCTTCTGTCTGTGGGAATTCAACTCATGTGTCACTGTTCAAGCATCTTCATTGTACGGTCAGGAGCCACAGCACAGCAGTACAGTGTGACAGGGCTGTTTTGGGCCCATCAGACTGGAGTGTAACAGACTGTAAAACAGCACTAATACTGACAATAACTGGTCCACCACGTGAGGACTGGAGATCTCAAGGAGTCTGAACACATCTCAGCTAGACAGGCGTCATATTATCCAGTGGACTAGAGCGAAAGACTTGCAGATTATGCATAGATAGATGGATAAGTAGATACATGGATACACAGATGGATGGGTAGATAGATAGATAAATAGATATGCAGGCCTATTATTCTATATTTAGTTTGCACAACACAGATTTGGACACCGTTTAGCTCATACAGACATTTGCACCCACACTGTCAGCTGCCAAAGTCCATTTCGCATTTCACTCCAAGTCCAAGAGACTTACCAAAAGTGGGACTAATAAAGCAGATGCCGAAGGGTTGATCCCAATGCACATGATTTAGCTGTCCACACACTTGTCTCTCTGGATAAATTCACCACGAACCTCAAGATGCTGACGAGAGTTCATTTATTCCAAATTCACGCGTAAAAAAAAAACACACAGGGGGAAAAAAAGAGCCTTCTTATTACGCTGATCAGGATTGTGCTGGAAGAGAAAAAAAAATCCAAGTGGACGTGATGAGCGACAATCTGCTGCTGAAGTGTCATTAACAAGACACAGTGGGGTATCTTACCTGCGTCGGGATGTAATAAAAACCCCACCTAAAAAAAAAAAATCCCCAGTACGATCCGATTGAGGCTTTAAAGGCAGAAAATGTAAAGCTGAAATCCCCCCCTCCAAAAAAAAAAAAAAATCCATAGAGGAGCTTTCAGGAGGGTCCGAGTGATGCGTCCGAGCCGTCTCCAAATGGGTTAAAGCGTCAGTACGTGGTCGTATCAAGTCCCCCCCCTCCCCTCTTACCACCACCACCTCATCCTCCTCTTCCTCCTCCTCCTCTGCGCACCGGGTTGTAACGCAGGAATACGGTGGATTAAATTTCCAATAAATCTCACGCCTGTTATGAATTGCAGTACAGATGGTGTCAGGATGGAGAACTGCAGTCCGGGGCTCGGTTTGAAGGGGTTGCGCTCCTTCTGGGGAGGGGGCAAAAAAAAAATAGATATAAGACGGTTGAAGGTTGGCGTCAAAATCACGAAAACTCTCCGGTTTTTTTTTTCTCCTTGTTAATCAAAGCCCCACGGCGCAGTCACCGAGCCCCGTCCTCCTGCCGTTCGTGTGCCATCAGTGCAGCCTTTAACTTCCTCCGTCTGAAGCGCAATGAAGGAATCCCACCCATGCACTGATATCGTGGCTTTCTTTCTTTCTTTAATTCTACCCATGCGACTTTCTGCTTTTTTTTTATTATTATGATTATTATTCTCTCCCCCCCTACTTCTGTCCGTCTGTGCGCTCCTCCAACAAAGCAATGCGGTCGATTTTTCTCCGTCCGGGATGTGGCAGGAGAATCTTGCTGTGTCCCGGAGAACAGGCAACCAACAAGAAGAAGAAGAAGAAGAAGAAAAAAGGAGAGAAAAAAAAATACCCTTCTCTGGATATGCGCCTCTGCTCCCTCATGCAGGCGTCCACCTGCGTAATGCGCGCCCGGTGTAAAAGAAAAACATGCTGTCACGCCATGATGTCTGGAGCAGAGCAGAGCCAAGTGGCCGGTGGACAAATTATTATTTTTTTTCTTGGTATCAGAGGATACGACTGACACCTTTCATGGACAGTGCAGCACTGCAGCAATGTGATGTCATTTGGGCTGCATTTAAAGAAAATACACTGAGGGGTTGCATCTTTTCTTTGAGGTATAGAGCAGGAGAAGAAAGAGGGTTTTGAAACACATGAAGGTTGAATTCATATAGAAAGGAGGAGGGAGGGGGGGTGTTTGTAGTACTCCGGGATGGTCCAGCACAACAAGATACTGCAACAGTGGACAGGAAGGGAGGGGAGGGATGGAAGTAGAGGATGGAGGGGGTGTTGGGTCATTGCTGCACTTAAAAAAAAATAAAAAAATCCAATTCACCCCCCCTATAGGTGGAAGATGTGCTTCCTGATTTGCATCCCAGTGAATGCCTCTTATCCTTCTCCATCTTCAATAAAAGGCAGCAGAAATACTTTGACCACCCACGTCTACCTCAGATAGCACCTCTTGTTCGTGTTACTTTGGGACATGGACTCCTCTCAGCCAAGATCTTACAGAGACGGGATATCCAGCCTATAGAAACATGAGCATCCTCCCACGAGTAAAAAAACAAAAAAAAACACAACAGTTAATCCTCTCAGAGTTGCAAAAGAAAGCCAGTGATAGCCCACCCTCCGTCATAACATGCGCAACATGTTTTGAATCTCCTTTTTTTGTTGTTGTTGTTGTTGCATATTCATCCCCGACTGTATTGTCCCGCTTGCTTGGAGGCCACAGGATATGTGGCAAAGAAAAGGAATTCTGGTGGACTTGACAAATCCTGTCAAATCCGATTGATTTGGCTTGCAGGAGCTTCACACAATACGGCGCACAGACTGGCACTGGATGTGAACCGGTGGATATTAGAGACCTGAAATATGCAGGAACTCAGAAGAGGAAATTACAGACTCACCTTTAAAGTACAGTTGATTTAAACGTCTGCTGCGAGCTGAATTAATTGACCATAAAAAGAAAAAAAGTAGCTCGTCACATGAGAAAATTTAAGATACACCGAAAGGAACAGGTCCCAAATGTAGGACTGTAATATGTGGTGATGATAAGGAATAAAAGTACCATAAATAACAAGGCTGTATCTACTCGAGTACTACAGGCAACCTTTGCGTCCCTAGAAGGATCGTTATAAGAACAGTAAATCCTCATAGGAGTGGGTTTTTTTCCCCCTCAGTTTTGCAATAAATGCATCCTTTCGGTTTCACATCAGCTTTGTTTCACTACTGCAACATGACAGGTGTCACAGTTTATCTGATGCACAACAGCTTGTACAAGAGCTGCAGCCTGTTGTAATTAAAGGGCAGTTAAAAATGGGTGGGGCACCCACAGGGCATTTTAGATGGATTACTGAGATGATTACAAACTCGTGTTGGGAGACAAATCCACTTGCAAATGATGCTTCTTCTTTCAGGAGGCGATATCAGTGAAAATCCAACCACTTAGCTATAACTCGGTAAATATTCACAACAAAGTGATCTTTTAAAGGGTTGAAACCACACAGTTTTAGACTCAAATGCACCCTCAAACTAGTTCTGAGCAGACTCCAATTTCTCCAAAATACCATTGTGCTGCGGAACGCGGTGCAGATTCAAGTTTCATTACGTGATTGCTCCGAGCCCGATCTGAATGAAGCATGTGTGTTCATCATGAGGTGGGTGAGCGCCTAAAACACATGCAGCGAATACTGATGGAAAATTGAAAAAAGAGCTACGAAGGAAGCCAATCTGCTATTTATATCAGGCTGCACTCCATGGGGCAAAGCTTCCCTCTCACAGTAATGCACTCTAAAAGTGATTGATTAGTGTGTTATTGAGATATTGTCCATCCAAACGGTCCTCGCTCACCAAAGTGATGAAATTACTGCACACTAGTCTTTGAAAGCATAATAGCAGATTAGGGTCAGCGTGATCCATCCGCTCTAATCAGGACACTTCCCCTAAAATTCTAAACATTAGAGGGCCACTCACATCAAGCAAACACCAGCCACTAGCGGTGAACGGATCGATACTGAAATATCGGTGCTTCCGATCCCAACGCTTCTCTTCTAGGAATCGATTCTTGTATCAGAAGTCAGTCATTTGGGTTAAATGTGTATTATATCACGAGCAGGGGACACGGTAGTGAGTAAATATGCCACTGTCAGGATGTAGTATCCAGGCTGATGTGAGCTGCTTCCCCCTCAACGTGTCAAAAACCATATTCCAAACGCAGCTCTAGAAAATGTGTGAGCCCCTGACGGAAGAAAGGTGCTGCTAGGGCGAGACGCACTTCTATCACCGAGGCCTTTGGCGGTGGCAGGAAACATCCAGGTACAGAGAGAGCGAGTGTGTAGCTACGCCGATGTTTATCACCCACCGTGGGAAAGTGATTCACGTCTGTCACTTTGTGTGCCGCTGTTCAAACAGCGGGAGTTCCCCGCATTCTCAAAATGTCAGAATGCCGTCTTATACAAATTACTATGTAGAAATATACCTGCGAAACCGAATGCATTTAGCACTAGTTATGGAACGTATAGCTTTTTGTTGTGCCATTTATATAATGTTCACAGCTACAACTTTTGAGATCAGTTGATCAGAGTGAGAGTTGCGCCTCCGGGTTGAGCTTACGTCAATTCAGTCAACTATTTCTCAGTTGTATTTTTTATTTTCAAAGCCCACGATGCTCTCGTGGCTGGTTTATTGCCAATATGCTGTACATTTCAATGACATGTATCTGAGCGGTTTACGCTAATAGAAAGAAACCAAATAAATGCTGGGCTTTGAACAGCCAATGTTCACTGATCAAGTGTCATCGGTGTTGACAATTTACTCTCAAGTGGCGTTTATTTATTTCTCCATGCATTTCACTGGTATTCTTTTTTATTCGACAGCACTCCGTACAACAGAGCAAACCTACAGAACTTGTGGATTAATCTCATTGACAGTCGTGAGAAGCTAAAAAAGCTGTAGCTCACAGTGCAGTGAGGCTCAATCAATTGTTTGACCTGAGTAATTGTATTATCTGTAGATGATTCTCCAAGACCAGCAACACCTTAAAGATACCCGGGAAATAAAAAGGAAACAGAGTAGTTTTGTGAGCTTTCGTACATAAAAAGTATTGGTATCAGCGCTCCCAGCCCAGGATTTACTTCCAATGGATCAGAAAGGAAATAAGTGGTATCACACATCACTACCACCCAGTCACTAATACCCTCAGAGGGTGTGTTTAATGACCTGGAACATATTACATACTGAGGTTGCTCAATTTAGGTTCAAGTGCACACAGCCTTTGTTCGTGTCCATCTGAAAAAGTCATTTTTGACACAACACAGTTGCCCTTGCCACTGTTTTAACAAATTGTTGAAATCAATTTCCATTAAGGACAGTAAAATTCCCAATTTCTTCTCCCCGGCCGAGCCCAAAGGACCTATAATGTGGTGCTCAATCAGTTCAGTGCGTCCGCGAACGGTCTCGCGTGTACGTGTAAACTTGAATTGGGATTAAAATTAGTGCAGTGACGGAAACAATCAAACGCTGTCTGCAGTAGCAGCCTGCAACATCATTACAGTACACAGAGCGCTCTGGAACAGATTAGAGCAGTCTTGTTTATACCATTGAATCACCCTGTACATTAGCACTCTCGCTCACGGAGCACAAAAGTTCCTGTTAATGTACTCTAAAGCCTCCGTCTCGCCATCAAATGCAGGAACGCCACAGATGTGATTTCCACGATAAGGCTCTTTAATTGGCTCATCAGGAGTGCTTTTTTAGCATGATGAAAAAAACAGGTAAAAGCAGAGGTCGGCCTGTGTGAAGGACAGATGGAATACATGTATTTATGTATGTATGTATGTATGTATGTGGAGCTCTCGGGGCTTCTGTCATATATAGATATATATTCAGTTTTGTCCTCAGATCCATGTAGAATGAAAGGAAAATCATGCCAAACTAAAACAATCTATGTTCTTCTCGTGCTGCAATGAAATGTTATAAGACTGTGTATGGAATAATTATGGTAGACTGCACTGCAAATGCTGTAGCTTAGCATAAATAATGGGTCG